TAAGTGCTAACTTGTCTGCCTTCGTGTTGTTCTTCCTGGGTATATGGACGATGGAAAATGATGTGAACCTCATTTTGCATCTGTCGACCTCATCAAGTAGAATAGCAAAATCCTGCCACTCCTCTGGTTTAGACACCATCTTCACCACATCGGAACAGTCCGTCTCTCGAATACCGTTATTAATTTGTTATGTCGTAGCATACATTGCATAGCCCAAATCAATGCCTCCAATTCAGTTTGAAGTGGTGATATTCCTCGTCTCAGGTTACATGCACCCTTAAGCTTGCTGTGCGTAACTGTATTGACATTATACCAGCCAAGTCCAGCCGTACAGTTTGTCTCCTTCCAGGCCCCATCCACTTGACAACAGTCAACTGAGAAAATGTTTTCCACTCGTGCATCTAAAACTGGACATTCGACTTCTTGTCTTTCTTGGGCCTTTGCCCATGCCAATGCCTCCGCTATCGCTTTTGTAATTATCTTGTTGGGATGCCAATCCACATTACCCATAACCTTATAATTGCGAGCTTTCCAAATATACCAGATCAACCAAGGGTAAATCTCCATTCTATCATCCTTTGGCAAGTCCCAAAACAAGTGCGCCATATTTGTGAAGAAGCTCCCTGTTGGAAACTGATTAGGCCCGTTGGAATTGGAGATAAAGCCCAAACCTGTAATGCTGGTGGACATTCAAATAAGGTATGATTAACTGTTTCTGCCGCCATACCACACCGCATACATTGGGGGTCTATCTGCAAACCTCGACTCCTCAACCGATCCCCGACCGCTATACAACCCGTCAGAGATTGCCAGAGGAAATGTTGTAACTTTTGAGTACATTGTTGTGTGAACCGAAATCCGCACAATAGATTCAAGAGATGATTTTAGAAAGGAACTAGAAATTCTAAGAGTAACACAAACGAGGATCCAAAGATGGTGATTTTATTGATGTAAAGTGTAAAGTGTTTTGCAATGGAAAAGTGATGATCGAAACCCTTTGGTTCGATCTCTATTTATACAAGGTATAGAACCAACTCTTTCCGAGATTCTCTAAAGATATCGTAAAGATTTTATCTTCTGTGTTGCGGCGCCGCCCCTTTGGCTCTCACCATCGTCTAGGGCGAACTGTGAGTCTCTTTTTGGGCTTGGGCTCAAATTGTTAAGGATAGATGTCGATTCGGCCCAAGGATAGCTACAGCTCGGCCCATACTCGATCGATCTCTGCTGCAACTGCAGTGATGAGCTCGATCGACCTGCAGCTGGCAGTGCATGTTCGATCGACATGCAAGTGGCTGTGCATGTTCGATCGACCTGCATGTGGCTGTGCGGGCTCGATCGACCTGCTGGTGGCAGTGCAGGTTCGATAGACCTCCAGGTGCTCTCCCTTCCTTGCCACGTGTCATGCTTTATCGTTGAACTCGACAGGAAGTATTCCGACCCCGACAGTTAGCCCCCCAGCTCGTTGATCTTGAAGTCTAGATTGGCGAGCTGAAGAATAAATAGTCGAGGTCATCGAACAATAGCATGAAGAGACGTGTATCTTTTCTGATGAGCCTAGGCCTTCTTGTTAAACATCTTTCCCTGCCGCCTTGGGAAACGCGAGCCGCCTCTTTTCCCCTTTTAAAACCATAAGCCCCCTTATCATTCTCTCTTCTTTGGTTGCTTATATTGCAGTTCGTCGCTATCCAGCTTATCGGAGATGCATTCCTCGTTCTGACTTACTCGTGAAGATAAGGCGAAGCAGGTCGCCGAGACCCCGGGTTCCAGTGCGCGGAAGGGTAACCGGCCGGAGGCGAAGAAGAAAGCTCTTGCTCCTGGTTCCAAGGACGGCGAGCGTCGACCCTTGGTGTTAGGTCTCCATGCGCCATCTGGACCGTTGGGTTCAGCTCCTTTGAGGCGTGATGAGGAGCGGGTTGCGAGCCGCAAGCGTGTGTCCGACGTTGTTGCGAGCAGCAAGCGTGTGTCTGACGTTGTGGCGAGCTGGAAGACGGTCACCATGAAGCAGCGTGTCTGCGAGTCGACTGACGTCGAGGAGCCTGCGTCTGATCCTATTGTCTTGTTCTCCCGGTGCTCGTCTTTGAAGATCAAGCTTCCACCTTTAGAGTCCATGAGGGCTCGCAATTCCTTTATCGAGGCGTCGAGGCAAGGGACGAAGGTAGTGTTTCTAATTCTGTCTTATTTATCTTCCTTGTTACTTTCTAGGGTTTTTGCCTTGTTCCTCCTCCTTCTCCCTCTTAAGCTATTGCCTTCGTTTTTTGTAGTTCATCGAGTCGATCTACGGGCTCACCGCTGACTACGAGATTAAGGCTCGCCGCGATCGCGAGCTGATCATGGAGTCGATGAGGGAGGTGGACTCGCTGGAGAAGAAACTTAAGGACAAGAATGATTCCGATGGTGGGGAGGCAGCAGAACTGCTGAAGCGAGAGTACGAGGAAGCGGTGGAAGCGTTGGAGGTTCGCGAGGAGAGGTTGCAGAGAGAGAACGAGAAGCTTAAGAAAGATCTTACTGCGAGGGTCGAAATCGAGTTGCGATTCGAGAGACGAGAAGCCAGGATGGAGAAAAACATTAAGGAGAGCTGCGGGCGTGACATCAAGCGTGTGCGGAGCGAGCTATCAGCGAAGCTTGACAAGGTGACGCTGGCACTCAGGGATCTTCAGGATGCGAGGCGAGCTGAGGCTCATGTGACACAGATTGATGCCAACCTCGATTTTATCCGTCTCCATAAGAAGGGCGAGATAACAGATTTTGACGCGGAGGTGGAGATGCTTCGTAAGATCCGAGCAGAGAAGATGGGAGTTCTCGTGAAGTGCGACGAGATTGCTTCCAGGTTGTTGAGCGAGCTCGGGATTCCTCCTCTTACACCCGATCCGCCGATCGTTCCGCCTCCTGCGTTCGATCCCGAGTCAGTCGAGAAGGCGGCCGGAAAAATTGGGGTCGCCGATCCGCATGGTTCGAACATCACTGCGCCTGAGTCGTCGGATGATACTTCTTTGGGGGTCGAGCAGGTTTCTGGTGAGACTACCGTCGTAGGAGATGGAGCCGGCGAGCCGACTCCCGAGAAGACGACAGACGCCACATCTACTTATGTTTTACTGCTTTTTTTTTCGTACTTAGTGCCTGGATGGCTTTATCCATTGTGACTTTGCTTTGTTTCGCTTTTGGGTTTCCTGACGAATTGCCTGGACGGCTTTATCCGCTTTGACTTTGCTTTGGTTTTATGAAATATTTTGAACTCTTTCTTCTTGTGTGCGAACGAGACCTTGTTGTGATGAAACTCTCGCAGGGAAGGTGTTTAGGAAGAGTAAGCGAACCATCATGTTAAAATTGTTTGAACAATTCACACTTAGGTATTTTTGTAGAGAGACCAACGTTTGCCGAGAGGAGTTTTGCTGTTGGGTTATGCTTGTTTTTGTTTCGGTTTTTCTTGTAATTTCCCTTTCTAGGAATTACAAGTTGAAACAAAGATGATCGATCAAAATTGTAAAGTGTGCGCTTGTAAAAAATCCGCGAAGGGATGTTGTAGTTCGTTCACTGTGGCCAGCAGCGAACGATAAGTGTGAAATGATGATATACAAACTTAACAGAGAGATGTTGTGAACTGGAAACATTCTGAGCTGAGACAGGTTAAAATGCGTTTCATTCATCGAGATTTTGGTACAATGCGAGGGAGTATAAGAGTATACGCACTCCACTCTCCCCCTTTTTTCTTGGGAGGGGCAACTGAATCCGTCCGAAGACGAACTGCCTACATACCTCTTGCGAGGATCAAGTCACGCGTAGTTCTAAGTGATTCCGAGCTGTTTTTTTTTTTTTTTCTTTTTGTATCTGATTTGAATCCGTCCGAAGACGAACTGCCTACGTATCCCTTGGCGAGAATCAAGCCGTGCGTAGTTCTGAGTGACGAGCGTTGAGTGGCTCTAATGGTAATACTTCTTCAAGTGCATCATGTTCCAGGGCTTCTGTATCGTTTTTCCATCCAGAGTTTCGATTTTGTAAGCGCCGGGTCGCACAATGTTGGTGATTCTGTAGGGACCTTCCCAGTTCGCGCCCAACTTTCCTGCGTTTAGTTCGGCGGTGTTCTGGAAAACTTTCCGGAGGACCAGGTCTCCTACTCCAAATCTTCTGCCTCGAACGTTGGCGTTGTAGTACCTAGCCGTTGCTTGCTGGTAATTTTGGATGCGGATTAGTGCACGGTCGCGTGGTTCGTTCACCACGTCCAGCTCGTCAAGAAGCATCAGGTGGTTAAGTCCTTCTTGCTCCGGTAAAATCCGTCGAAGAACTCCAGGGAAATGTATCTCAGATGGGATTATGCATTCTGTCCCGTAAACAAGCGCGAACGGTGTCTCCCTAGTGGCTCGCCGCGGAGTGGTTCGGTGCGACCAAAGTACACCTTCGAGTTCGTCTGCCCAACATCCCTTCTTCTCGCCTAACCGTTTCTTCAAACCGTCGTGGATTGTCTTGTTAGTTGCTTCGGCTTGACCGTTTCCTTGCGGATAGCGCGGCGTGGATTTGCTGAGTCGAATCTTCCACTTCTCGCAGAATCCTTCGAAACGAGCTGAAATGAACTGCGAGCCGTTGTCAGTAACGATCTCATACGGAACTCCATGGCGGCATATGATATTATTCCAAACGAATTGTTCAACTTGAGCGTCTTTTATGCTGGCGTACGAATCTGCTTCCACCCACTTAGAAAAATAATCTGTTAGCACCAGAAAGAATCGCTTCTGCTTCGACGGATGCAAAGGACCCACGATGTCCATCGACCAGCGCATGAATGGGTACGGCGCCAAGATGGATGATAGCAGCTCAGCGGGTTGATGGATCGTCGGCGCGTGTCGTTGGCACTTCTCGCATTAGCAGAGTACTTCTCACAATCCGTGATCATCGTCGACCAGTAGTACCTGTGACGCTTAATCTTGATTGCTAAGGCTCGTCCGCCCGAGTGGTTTCCGCAGGAGCCGCTGTAAACTTCTTCCATGATTTTTCGCGCATCCTTCCCTTCAACGCAATTGAGCGAAGGCCATGAGAATCGCCATTTGAGTAAGTTCCCCGTCTAACACAACGTAGCGTGCTGCTTGAGCTCTGAGTTTGCGAGCTGCCCATTTCTCTGCCGGGATTTTGCCCTCATGTATGTATGCTCGGATCGCGCCCATCCATTCTCTGTCGCAGCCATATTCAACTTCTCTGTCTATCTCCATGTCAGCTATGTCATTGTCTAGTTCGCCTTCTTCTTCGGGTTGCGTTGACGTTATCGTCATAACTGGCTCGGGAACATTAATGCTTGGTCGTTCAATGAATTCCACCGGTATTATCCTTTTGAGGTCTGGGTCGGACGTGGATGCTAGCGCAGCTAGGGCGTCTGCCTGCGTGTTCTCGCCGCGGGGTACTCCCGTTTGCTCGAATTTAGCGAATTTTGCAGCCAACTCTTTCAGTATTGCTAAGTACTTCTCGATTCTTTTGTCTTTAGTAGCGTATTCTCCGCTAAACTGGTTCGCAACGAGTTGAGAGTCGCAAAATGCTCGGATCTCCTGCTTTAGCCATAACCGCTTTAAAACGTGCCATAAAATTTCGCAGTGTTTCGGTTCGCCCTTGCGTCATGGTCCATAGGTCGACGTCCAAAGTGGCATTCTCGATGAATATGGAGTATTGCTTGAGAAACTGGGACGACAACTGATGGAAATTCGTGATAGAGTTTGGCTCGATTTGCATGAACCACGTCAAGGCCGGTCCTTTGAGGTATTCAGCGAACAACTTGCAGTATGCGGCGTCTTTCGCCTCTGGGGTCGGGAATTCGACTCGGCTCAAAATAATGCGGAAGGTGTTCACATGCTCCCTCAGATCGGCTGTTCCGTCGTACTTCTGGATGTTGAGCCTTCCCGGATCGATTACTTTGGTGTTGAGGATTGTTTGAGAGAAAGGGGTTTTCTCCGTGTCTTCGCATAGTTGATCTATTTCTGGAGCTGCGCTGAGAGCCTTGTGGACTTGGGATCTGAGGAGTCTCGTATTTTCGTCGGATCGCGCCATTCTGGCTCGCAGCTCCTCCAGCTCGTTGTCGTTCGGGTTCCGCCGATGGCTCCCGCGATCTGTAGCTCGCTGATCTTCTTCGCCATCATTCGATCTACGAGTACGGCGAGCGCTTCGTCGCTGTAAGGGTTTGCCGGCGAGTTGAGAGTCGCGTTAACTCCTGTTCCGTTCGCTGGCGCATCTCCGATTGCTCCAGACTCGTCGTTTGTGCTCGATCTGTTAAGGGGAGGTGGATCGGTGGATCCGCTTCCTGTTGCTACTCGTCCTCCTGCTGTTGTGATTGGAGTCGTGAAAGTGAGCGCCACAGGATCGATGCCGTTCGCTTTCGCAACTCCTCCTGGTCCACCTTCTTGTTGTCAGATGGCTCGCAGGGTTTCCAACTGGGTCGTCAGTGTACTGTTAAGCGCCGCTTGCTCGTCGGCTTTCTTCTGCAAGGCGGCGATCATCTCTTGCATCTTCGCCAGTTCGGCCGTTGCGATCTGAGCCGCCGGTTGATTGGTGGGAGTTTGGTTCTCCATGGTTGGATCGGTTCCTGGTGGGATGATCCCTGATGAGGCCGTTGCTGGTCTGGTCATCTCTTCAGATCTCGTGTGCTTTGTGAGTAAGAAATCTTCTAATCCCCCTCCTTCTAGCGCCAAATTGTGTGAACCGAAATCCGCAAAATAGATTCAAGAGATGATTTGAGAGAGGAACTAGAAATTCTAAGTATAACACGAATCGAGATCCAAAGATGGTGATTTTATTGATGTAAAGTGTAAAGTGTTTTGCAATGGAAAAGTGATGATCGAACTCCTTTGGTTCGATCTCTATTTATACAAGGTATAGAACCGACTCTTTCCGAGATTCTCTAAAGATATTCTAAAGATTTCCTCTTCTGTGTGCGGCGCCGTTCCTTTGATGACTCTCACCATCGCCTAGGGCGAACTGTGAGTCTCTTTTTTTGGCTTGGGCTCAAATCGCTAAGGATGGATGTCGATTCGGCCCAAAGATAGTTACAGCTCGGCCCATACTCGATCGATCTCTGCTGCAGCTGCAGTGATGAGCTCGATCGACCTGCAGCTGGCAGTGCAGGTTCGATCGACCTGCAGGTGGCTGTGCAGGTTCGATCGACATGCAGGTGGCTGTGCAGGTTCGATCGACCTGCATGTGGCTGTGCAGGCTCGATCGACCTGCAGCTGGCAGTACAGGTACGATCGACCTGCTGGTGGCAGTGCAGGTTCGAATGACCTGTAGGTGCTCTCCCTTCCTTGCCACGTGTCATGCTTTATCGTTGAACTCGACGGGAAGTATTGCGACCCCAACAATTGTACTTTCCACACCTGTGCCTGCACACTCAATGTGTCAGGACCAAACAAGGTTGGGATACCAGCCTCCAGAGTTTGTTGTGCTATCGCATATCCAGATTTAACCGTATATCTACCCTTCTGTGTGAAAAACCATCCCATGGAATCATGGCGGGAGATATGTGATGTCGGAATCCCGAGAATTAGGGAAACATCCATACTATCAAATAATTGATGTAGGAGTGGCAAATTCCCCGTTGTTGTACTGGGATTGATCAATTCATTCACCCGAAGATGGGGGAAAAAGAACATTCCAGGTCCTGCATGTGGAAAGTTATTAAAGAATTATTTAAATTTAGAGAAAGTTGTTAAGGAAAAAAAAAAATCAGCATGTGGCACGTGGCATAAGGGTCTTCAACGTGGGTCCGTCCCTGGACGTACTTTAAGTGGAGGGACCATAATAAATTACCCATTCAAGCTAATATTGTTTTTCTGTAAATAAATTAGAAAAAGTGGAGAATCATATTTACTTTTGGATTTTAGTGAGTAAAGTGGAGGGAACATCTCTATATGGACCACATGAAAATTGAAGAGTGTGATCCACTTTCACGCACATTCCAAAATGTTTGAAGATGATAAGAATTTTTTCTTTTAATTTTATTTACAAAATTAGATGTTATTCTTTTTATATATAGCATACCAAGACACAAATGATTGTATCAATATCTCAAAATATTCACTTTCATTTTTGCTTTGTTTTTTTTTCGTCATCTATATCATAGAAAGCATCTACAAAAACTGTTTGGCAAGGTAATGTTTTTCAGAAATAATATATTTGTATATTATATATATAGTAAATATGTTTTGTTTTTGATTGCTAAACCAAATATTTAAATTATTTTATTTCAAAATGTATATGATTAGATATGATTTAGTGATTAAAACATTTGATCCTATTCCATTACAAATATGTATATTTTCAGAATAATATCATTATTGGCAACACAATACTAAACTTATTTTGGTATGCATCTTTACGTTCTGTTATATTGAGAAGACGTTTGGAGTTTGAAGAAGAAATGGAAGATTCTCAGTGAATTTCCTAGATATAATTTTGATATGCAAAAATAAGTGGTAATGGCTATAATGGAATTACATAATTTTATCAGAATTTCAAATTTTACATATGAAGATTTTGCTGAACTAATGGAACATACAGAGATAGGTGACATATTATGAGGGTGATTTAGAAGACAATGAAGCAACATAAGTAGTTGATAGAGAACTTATGGCGAACATCAGAGATAATATTACACAGTCTTTATAGGCAAATCGAAATAATTTGTACTAAAACTATCTTGTATTTTAATTGATTTTGTTGTTTATTTTAAATTTATGTATTAGTGGTTTTACCATATGTATTATTTTAAATTTTAATCATATGTATTATATAATTATTTCATGTATTTGAAATCTAATTTTAAATAGAAATTACCTAATTATAAGTTTTTTATATTTAAATGAGCAGTGTATTGGACCGCTGTTTATCCGTGTTTACCATTCAAATATTTTTTTGGATCGTTAGATCCGCTAGATCCGCTTTAGTTTTTCTTGATCCGCTCGATCCGCAACGCTTGATCCGTTTTCTCCATTCGGAGCATGAGCGTGACAAATGAAACTATAACACCCCGACTGCCCCTCCCGGTGAGTCACCCATGCCCTCTCTCTGGGACCGCAAGCCCATCTCGGCCATAGGTCTCACCCCTGTCCGACGGCCGGTCCGTTATTTTTGAGACTCTAATGACTTGTTACTATCCCTGCAATCAACACTTAACCTTTCCCCATGTTTTGACCTCACTCACACGGTTTTGGAAACGACTTCCCGAAAGGTCACCCATCCTTCAACTACTCCAGCCCAAGCACGTTTAACTCTAGAGTTACTTATAGACCTTTGACCGAAAAGGTAAGTGCACTTTGTTGACATAAGTAGCCAAATCAATTCTCTTAAACCTCTCCTCGTTTATCACAAACCGGGATATTACAGAAACAACCATAACTTTTTTAAAAAAAAATATAAAACTCAGCGAAGTTCTCAAGTCTTTAAAATAAATAATAAATCAAAACATCAATATTCAGCGGAAGAAAAAAAAAAAAATCATAAAAAAATCTAGCACCCTAAACACCAAGTTTACTAGCAACTTAAACCAATAAAACAAATCGATCCTATCATCCTGTTTTTCGGTGTTGATTACGCAATCACGTAAACCTTTTACCTGCAACACATTACGAAAGAGTTGCATAAATATTATCATAAATACTTAGTGAGTGGATCATCCCACTTACAAGCCAATTACGTGATAAGACAAGCAAGTACACAAGCAATCAATAAACATCAACAACAAACGATCAGCAGTATAAAACAGTTGTGTCGGCCTCAGAATTCCCACTTCGCGATTTCAACACAGAAACATGAAATCGAACGGGATTCAACCCCCGAATCGATCAAACAAGCGATTAACACATAAACAACTCAAGAACAGCTCCAAAACACAACACACAACACAAATCTAGAGAATCACGAGCCTATGGTTACACACTCACCTCTAGAAACGGATTAAACAAAGAAAGGGGAAGAAAGCAACGAAGAGCAGCAAGGATTCGCCCCTTAATCGACTAGGAACGACAGATTTCACCACCAAATCGCCTCTCTTCTCTTCACAGGTTCGGAAAATGACAAAAGGAAGAAGAACTCGGTGGCTGCTCCCATTATTTCACGAAACCAGGGATTCTCAGACCCAAACCAGAAATCAGACAACTCAAATCGAACCGAGAATCAGCCAATTGGACCGGTATCGCTCGACACCAAATAAAATTCCTCTTCTTTGGTTTACGGATGTTACAACAAAAGCCGAACTAGCGGATTGAGCGGATCTAGTGGTTCCAGCAATTCAAAAATATGTTTGAATGGAAAAATCGCATATAAAGCGGTCCAAAACACTATACATATTTGCAAAAATTATTTGGGATCGAAAATTATTATTTTATTTTGTATAATGAAAATAATAAAATTAGGTTATTTATAAATTTTAAATTATAAACACAACAACATGAAATAAATATAAATATAAATATAAAATTGCTTAGACATTAAAATTTATCAGTAATATATATAGACAGTCCAAAATATTATGTTTTATTTATTTCAACGTGTAATTTTTAGTTTAGTATAAAGTAATTTATTTAAAATGGTTGTTATCATACAAACATTATTTAGTGTTTTCTTTAAAAAATTAATATATTTACTCCAATCCATATATATTATTATTTAAATATTGGATAAAAAATTAGAATTAAAACATATTGGAATAATGGCTTACATGTATAATATTATTTAAACACCATATAATGTATTATTTCAGAAAAATTATGTACAGTATATACAGATAAATTTGGACCACTCCCAAATTAGAGTGTAACAGATGTACCACTTGTGGTTCTTGGAAAAAGACCAAACAATATTTTTTTTTGAGGATGGGTGAACTACTTTACATTACACTTTACTAGAACTAAGGCCGCACTATGCGCGGATTATGACTATTACAAAATTTTGTCACTTATATCTGAATTTTTATATTAATTTTGCAAACATTTTGTCTAAAATAATTTTTCGCCTTATAATTGTTTTGAGAAGCAAGTTTGCATAAACTTTAATAAATGTTTAATAAAAAATCAAATTTGCATAAACGAAACAAAATGACATTGTCGATTCCCCTACCGTCGAACATTATTTATATACATAATGATACCTAAGAGAAAGTATATTATGAAAAATCTCATATATAATTTACATTGCTGTTTTTTGTTCACGACTGAAATAAATGAAAACTCAGAAGCATACAAATGAATTTTTCGTCTACTTTCTTTCCTTAATTAACCAAATATCCCATAATAAAGATTATGCAAAACAACATATGTACGTACGTAAAAGTAATATTGAATAAACTAAATTAAGAACTTAGGCTGAATGAATAAGAAAATTGGGTAAAATAAGCTAAAAGCCCAAGAAGAGAACATGACTCAAAGTCTTCGTCATGTCTTTGACAACTAAATCACTGTTCACAAGATTTTACAGAACTGTCGTTGACAAAAAGCTTTGTTCACGCTTTCGATCTACACCTTATGTGATTCCAACTCAGAATCATACCTTCCACAGCGATTTCAAACGACCCTTTTTGAGAAACGCGATTCCCTTGCGATTTCGAGCGCTTTCGCTGCTTATGGTTCCGCTTCCGGAGTGACAATCGCAGCATTACATGCGATTCCGTGCTACGCAGGTCGTTGGAGAGATGATTTGAAACACCGGACATTGGAGTAGTCGCCGCAATTGCCGGTATAAATTGCTATGGTAAGGATTGAGGCGGTTTCTCTTTACGAGAAACAAAACGGTGGGAATAGAAAACGAATTGCTTTGAGTTTAATGTTTTTCTTAATTGTTTTTTTTTTAATAAAAGAGAACTTGCCACGTGGCAGTTCAATAGAAAATGAAAAAGCTGAGGTGGCAGAAATCTGAAGAGAGTTATCTTCTCATTCTATATAAGATTATATTTTTGTTGAATGGGTGAATATGTTGCGGAGGATACACACTCCATATGCTCCGTTAATGAGAAAAACGGATATATGGCTCCGAATGGAGAAAGCGGATCAAGCGTTGCGGATCTAGCGGATCAAGCGGATCAAAAGGCTCCGAATGGAGAAAGCATCAAGCGTTGCGGATCGAGCGGATCAAGCGGATAAAAGCGGTTCTAGCGGATCAGAGTGGTACAAGTGCGGATCTAGCGGTTTAAGCGGTTCTAGCGTTCCAAAAAATATATATGAATGGTGAAAGTGGATAATTAGCGGTTCAAAACACTGTTCATATATATAATAAAAAAATATTGCATATATATATTTTAAACAAAAATATAACTTTAAATATAATTTCAAATACAAAAAAATCAAACAGTAGAAAAAAATTATAATACAACACATTCTTAACATTTTTAATACAGATTATTTCGATTTGCCCATAACGATTTTGCAATATTATCTCTGATGTTCGCCATAAGATCTCCCTCAGCTATTTCTGTAGTTTCTGTGTCACCTAAATCACCCTCAAAATTTATATTCTCCATTTCTGCGTGTCCCATTTGTTCACCGAAATCATCATCTGTAAAATTTGAAATCCGTATAAAATTGTGTAATCCCATTGTAGCCATTACCACTTGTTTTTGTACCTTCATATTATATCTAGGAAATTCACAGAGAATCCTCCATTTCTTCTTCCAAACTCCAAATGTCCTCTCAATAACTGAACGTAGAGATGCATGCCAACGGTTAAAGAGTTCTTGCATATTCCGTGGAGGGGGACCATTCTCGAATTGAGACAAATGATAGCGAAAAACCGTGTTTCTTGAAGATCTATAAGGAGCAAGAAAACCCTGTTTATTTGGATAACCGGAATCAACCACGTAATACTTATCTCCCGGAGGCAAAGGAAATTCAGAATCCTTTTCTTGTGCCGTGTTGAGCACTGCGGTATCGTGACATGATCCTGGCGCTCCATTCCAAACATATGTGAATAACATATTCAAATCGCATATTGCCATGATGTTGAATGAAGTTCTGTCATGTCGATTCCAATACATTCCTTGCAATTCTGGCTTGACTTTAACACATACATGAACTCCATCCATTGCTCCAACAAATCCACTAAAATATGGCCAATATTTTCGATCCATTATAAGCCGTTCAGGAATCCTAAGAAGTTCTTCACTTGTTGGAGTGTTGATATAATCACAAGCAAGCAACTCAGTCGCGTTAAGAACTTCAAAGAATTTTCTCTTCACTGTTTCTTGAGTTCGTCCGAAACGCAATCCAACATCCCTTTGAACTTCATTATGTCCACATATCCGTAGAAACATAGCCACACTCTCTTCAATGCTTACATTTAAGGTTGGCTGTAATCCATAATTTGTTTCCAGTTTATCACACAATGTTCTAAAACAGTTCAACGACATTCGTAGTAACTGAAGACAAGCAGCATGATCTTCTTGTAATCGACGCCAAATATTTCTCCACCCAAACCATTATCTGTCTGAACTGGTCCCCTTGCAAAATACCGATTGTAATAACTCAATGCTGGTTGAATTATTAACTCTTCAAATTGCTCGTTTTCCAAATTCCACAACTCAACTCTCTCTTCATAATTCAGAAATTGAATTCCTTGTGCTCGCAGCTGACAGATACGAAAAGCCTATATTTTGATAAAAAAAAAGAAGAAGATTAGAATCGAATTGATAACAGAAATCAATAACACATAATACATAGAATACTTTTTTTTTGAACAACAGGAATACATTTTAAAAATAGAAAATAAGAAACAATCATTATTAATAAAACACACATGCTAATAATCTAATCTTCATTGTTTGAATCGCTTTGATGGCTTTCATTCAAATTAGGTCCTCGTTTGGTTCCCCATATGTTGAATAATCCTCCTACTTTGCGTGGTCGTGATATTTGTTCGGTTGAAGCATAATTTGCTAAACCAAATTCTGGGGATACTCCTCTTGCCATATTTGTTGGATTAGGCATCGAAACTTCTGCAGAAACTCTTTCAGGTGAAGTTCTTGTTGTTTCATGTCGAGTTTCCTTTGGGAATCCATGTTGAATATTCATTTGAGGGTCCATTGTGAAGAATTTGGCGACGAACCCCATTGTTGAGGATGTGATGATGATCCCCATTGTGGAGCAATCGGTGGCGAATTCCATTGTTGACTATTTGGAGGTGTTCCCCATCGTGGAGCTATTGGCGGTGAACTCCATTGTTGGGTATTTTGTTGTGCTCCCCATTGTGAAGTAAGTGAGCATTTGGTGGTGCCCCATTGTTGAGCATTTGGTGGTGTCCCCATTGTTGAGCATTTGGTGGTGTACCCCATTGTTGAGCATTTGGTGGTGTGCCCCATTGTTGAAATCCAGGACCCCATTGACTACTTGAAGTCTGACCCCATGAATTATTACCACCAGAAGATGGACTACCTGAATGACAACCACCGGAACTTTGACTCCCAAAATGTTTACCCGAGCTTAAACGCTTCTCCACACGTTCATCATTGCGTGTAAGTCCAGTTACAGCTTGTAAAAATTGTATCTTCTCTTCGAAAGGCTTATCAGCTCTATCAATGAAATACTTACGCCAAGAATGCATCTTCTCTAAATACTCGAATGCATGCCCAGTAAAATCTGTGTCATTGGGCAGCTCCATCGATTCGAAAATCTTCACAGCCACATCAAACTCGTTATAATCATCTTGGTCAAATGCATTTGGGCGTAATTGTTGAATACTTTGGCGCTGAAACTCCCTAAAGCCAGCCATTGTATCTGTCAATGTTGCCTCAAATGATTGTTTTTTCCGACTTCCTCGTGGACCACTCCCTTGAGAGACTCGTGAAGATCCTGCAGATCTTTGTAAAGTACTCCCTCGTCTTCCTCTACTTCGGTTTTGAACTCTGGAAGTTGGAATTTGGATTGGATCAACGGTTGAAGAACTACGCCGGATATGTTCGTAAGTAAACTCGTTCGAAGGATGGGTTTCCTCATCAATGTTGACCCGATACACTTCTTCAGTACCTTCAGTCTCCGGAACTTGATTGTGTGGCATCTCACTATCAAAGGGGTCTGGGAACAAATCATCTTCATTAGTAACATTTTCATTCAACATCTCTTCTCTTCTTTGGTTGACAGAGTATTGAGGCTGAGAATGAACATTATATAATACGAAACAGCGTTGCATTATATCCCAGTGTGCTGGTGGTTGTCGTTTAAATGCATGTACAATTTTATCCACCTATTATTAGGAGATTAAAATATTAATAAACAATAATAATTCTAGTTAATTTAACTAAGATTATGTATACTTACTTCACGATCTGTCCACCATGATTCTGATGCTTCAATTACAGAGGTAAGAGGATCAACGGAGATGCCAGTTGATTCCATAAGATGCGTATATTTTTTATATTTTTTTTTCATATTATCAAGTTTTTCTTTGAAAAACTTATAAGTTATATCAAGATCGAACCTCTCGTTAAACTTTTCAACCATAAATTGTTTACCCAAAGGAAGAGGATCTTTTATACGGTAATTATTCATAGCAACTGCTTGATCGTACAACTCAAGCAGTATTCTTTCTCGACTAGGGGTCCATTTAAAATTAGCTCCGTTCTACAAATTTGATAAAAATAAATAAATATTTTTTCATACAAACTATAATTACACCGAATAAAGTAAAACTAAAATTAGAATTATTTACCCGTGCTGATGTTTCGGTGGGAACATTTGTATTTGGTTGCACAGAGGAACTTGAGTTTCGTTGACGATTAGATGCCATATCTACAATTTAAAAAAAATATTAATATAATTGTTTTCATTTTTGAAAACTGACATAACTATTGCATATAAAAAAAATATGTAAACATGTGATTTATAAATATTATATATTTTATTTTTTTAACAGAACTATTTTCTTTTAAATGTAAATTAAAAACTACTTACATTTCTTACGTTTTTTAATTATTTTTATAATTATAATTTTGATTATTATATATATCCAAATGTGACAAACATCATTTTTCATTTGTTCTTAAAACTCTATAACGATTTACAAATAAATATTTATAATTATAATGATTTCACATATAAATTATAATCTAGCATGCATGTCATTACAAAAATCAGGCAGTTAGTAAATGATTATAACATTTTAAACTACTGAAAAAATATTAATATAAAATTATAAAATGTATGATTTAATGTGAAAAATAAAATATACAGGTTTTGGTTAAAATATCAGCTAAAAAAAATTATATACATCTTTAATTATTTTAGATATAAATGTTGAATTTGAGAATATATATATATATATGGTAATTAAAATTCTGTATAATCTACTTAGTAACTAAAAGAAAAATTTCATATACATTTGATTGTAATATAAAATATAAAATATTATATGTATGTTCTTATTCATAATAATCATACATGTATTTTATTTAAAAACTTTAAAAGAAAAGAAGAAAAATTATTTACCTTGATATGAGTTTTCAAATGCAATGTTTTTAAAAGGTTTGCTAGAGAAAAATAAGTTGTATTGATTTTGAACGTATGTGATGTGAGTATTAAAGAGCAATTGTGCAATTGGATTGAGAAATAAGTTGGATTGATTGTGAACGTATGTGATGTGAATGTCTTTCTTATATATAAATTTGAGATATCTATTTCAAAAGGAAATTGTGCATTTCAAGATAAAAATATATATATAATTACTTTTTACGTTGAAATGTGTGAAGAGAGTAAATTATTCACTTCAAGTTGGAGGAGGAGATATCCACTTGTGGTTCACCCACAAATTCTACTAAAAAACAAAAAAGATTTGTACCACCTCCTCCAACTTTTTTTTTTATTTTTTATTTTTATGTTTTATGTGAATGGCAAAATTCTGAGTGGTTAATCCACTTAATGTTGCGCACGTCGATAAACCGCTCCCCATTAAAGGCTTTGGCGATTCTAATGTTTCAAAAATATATTTGAATGGTGAAAGTGAATAAATAGTGGTTCAAAACACTGTTCATATATATATAATAAAAAAATATTGCATATATATATTTTAAACAAAAATTGAAATAGTTAATTTATTGTATTTTAAATTTATTTTCAAATACAATAAATCAAGTAGTAGGAAAAAATATAATATAATACAATCTTAACATTTTTAATACAGATTATTTCGATTTGCCCATAATGATTTTGCAATATTATCTGTGATGTTCACCATAAGATCTCTTCAGCTATTTATGTTGTTTCTGTGTCACCTAAATCACCCTCAAAATTTGAATTCCCCAATTCTGTATGTCCCATTTGTTCACCGAAATCATCATCTGTAAAATTTGAAATTCGTATAAAATTATGTAATCTTATTGTAGCCATTACCGCTTGTTTTTGTACCCGCATATTATATCTAGGAAATTCACAGAGAGTTCTCCATTTCTTCTTCCATACTCCAAATGTCCTCTCAATAACTGAACGTAAAGATGCACGCAAACGATTAAAGAGTTCTTGCATACTCCGCGGAGGAGGACCATTCTCGAATTGAGACAAATGATAATGAAAAACCGTGTTTCTTGAAGATCTATAAGGAGCAAGATAACCTTGTTTATTTGGATAACCGGAATCAACCAAGTCATACTTATCTCCCAGAGGCAAAGATAATTCAGAATCATTTTCTTGTGCCGTGGTGAGCACTGCTGTATCGTGACATGATCTTGGCGCTCCATTCCAAACATATGTGAATAACATATTCAAATCGCATATTGCCATGATGTTGAATGAAGTTCTGTCATGTCAATTCCAATACATTCCTTGCAATTCTGGCTTGACTTTAACACATACATGAACTCCATCCATTGCTCCAACAAATCCACTAAAATATGGCCAATATTTTCGATCCATTATAAGCCGTTCAAGGATCCTAAGAAGTTCTTCACTTGTTGGAGTGTTGAGATAGTCACAAGCAAGTAACTCAGTCGCGTTAAGAACTTCAAAGAATTTTCTCTTCACTGTTTCTTGAAACATAGCCACACTCTCTTCACTGCTTACATTTAAGGTTGTCTGTAATCCATAATTTGTTTCCAGTTTGTCACACAATGTTGTAAAACAGTTCAATGACATTCGTAGTAACTGAAAACAAGCAGCATGATCTTCTTCTAGTCGACGCCAAATATTTATCCACCCCAAACCATTATCTCTCTGAACTGGTCCCCTTGCAAAATACCGATTGTAATAACTCAATACTGGTTGAATTTAGGCCTGGGCGTTCGGTTATTCGGGTCGGGTTCGGGTCGGTTCCTTTCGGGTTTCGGGTTTTTTCGGTTCTAGAAATTTTAGTACTATTCGGGTATTTTTTATTTTTGGGTCGGGTTCGGGTCGGTTCCGGGTCGATTCCGGATATCCAAATTTTATTACAGAAAATAAAATAAAAATAAAACCTGTTTCATTTGAATGAAATTTTATTGAACTTAGCAAAAACTATTGAATATTAACAATATAACTAAATATTTTTGGATTTATTGAATATTTTAGTTATTTCTTTCTAAATTTAACTATTGTATTAGGTTTATAATTGTAATTTTACATATTTTGGTTATTTTAAGTCTAATATAACTAATATTTTTGAGAATATAATTATATTTTCAATATTTCAGGTACTCGTCCGGTTTTCGGTTCGGTTCGGGTTCGGATCCGGTTCTTTCGGGTATAGAAATTTTGGACCCATTCGGGTATTTATGTCGGTTCCGGTCCGGTTCGGTTCCGTCTATTTCGGGTCGGGTTCGGTTCTATATTTCGGGTCCGGATAAAAATGCCCAGGCCTAGTTAAATTATTAACTCTTCAAATTGCTCATTTTTCAAATTCCACAACTCAATACTCTCTTCATAATTTAGCAATTGAATTCCTTGTGCTCGCAGCTGACAAATACGAAAAGACTATATTTTGATAAAAAAAAATGAAGAAGATTAGAATCGAATTGATAATAGAAATCAATAACAGAAAATACATAGAATACATTTTAAAAATGTAAAAAGAAATAATCATTATTAATAAAACACACATGCTAATAATCTAATCTTTATTGTTCGAATCGCTCTGATGACTTTCATTCAAATTAGGTCCTCGTTTAGTTCCCCATATATATGTTGAATAATCCTCCTACTCTGCGTGGTCGTGATATTTGTTCTGTTGAAGCATTATTTGTGAAACCAAATTCTGGTGAAACTCCTCTTGCCATATTTGTTGGATTAGGCATCAAAACTTCCGCTGAAACTCTTTCAGGTGAAGTTCTTGTTGTTTCATATTGAGTTTCCTTTGGGAATCCATGTTGAATATTCATTTGAGGGATCCATTGTGAAGAATTTGGCGACGAACCCCATTGTTGAGATGTGATGATGATCCCCATTGTGGAGCAATCGGTGGCGAACTCATTGTTGACCATTTGGAGGTGTTCCCCATCGTGGAGCATTGGCGGTGAACTCCACTGTTGGGTATTTTGTTGTGCTTCCCATTGTGAAGTATTTGTTGGTGTGCTCCATTGTTGAAAATTTGGTGGTGTGCCCCATTGTTGAGCATTTGGTGTTGTGCCCCATTGTTGAGCATTTGGTGGTGTGCCCCATTGTTGAGCATTTGGTGGTGTGCCCATTGTTGAAATCCAGGACCCCATTGACTACTTGAAGTCTGACCCATGAATTATTACCACCAGAAGATGGACTACCTGAATGACAACCACCGGAACTTTGACTCCTAAATGTTTACCCGAGCTTAAACGCTTCTCCACACGTTCATCATTGCGTGTAAGTCCAGTTACAGCTTGTAAAAATTGTATATTTTCTTCTAAAGGTATTAGCAGCTCTATCAATGAAATACTTACGCCAGAATGCATCTTCTCTAAATACTCGAATGCATGCCCAGTAAAAGTCTGTGTCATTGGGCAGCTCCATCGATTCGAAAATCTTCACAGCCACATCAAACTCGTTATAATCATCTTGGTCAAATGCATTTGGGCGTAACTGTTGAATACTTTGGCGCTGAAACTCTCTAAAGCTGGCCATTGTATTTGTCAAAGTTGCCTCAAATGATTGTTTTTTCCAAATTCTTCGTGCACCACTCCCTTGTGCACTACAACAAATATAGGTATTAATAGCAGACGACGATAGCATAATTTTCGTAACTGCTATTAAAAGTGAAATTGGGTTTAGATTCATCTTTTTATAGCATTTTTCGTATGCTATGCCTAAAAAATAAGAAGCGGCAAAAAAATTTTCGCTAATCCACCCTTTTTATCTCATGGGCGCCAACACTTAAAAAAAAAACATGTTTTGCCGGTCATTGGAGCAAGAAATACTATTGATAGCATTAAAAAAACAATTGAATTAAAAAAATAAAGAACACTTCGTTTTCTGGGTACTGTACCTTCTTTTTTTCTTTTGGTTTTATTTCACAAAACATAATCGCTTTAAAAGAAGAAAACAAATCTTCTTCTCCTCTACAATAAAAGAAATTCCGCTCGTCAAAAAATAATATTCTCTTTTCATCAATCTCCGATCTCGCAGATCTGATTTCAACTCTTCTTCCTTTCCTGGTTCCGTGTAATTGTGTTGTCGTGTTGGAGAAAGAGGGCAACTCGGAGAGAGGCAGATGAAGCTAGCGGAATATGTCGCCGGAACTAGGAAAGTCGCTATGGGTGATTTAGGGTTCCGTTCGATTTGGGGTTTTTCTCTCTGTTTCAATCAGTTATCCCCTGAGTCAAACAATCTTGCTATTCCTTCTTCGAATTCTGTGAGTTTCTACTCTTCTTTTCTCAGATTGGAATCAATCTACGTTCTTGTTTATTTGATTTATTTGTTTTTTGGGTAGAAATTCTACAACGCTTATTGTTCTGCCGAGTTCGTATGATGATTCTCTTAGCTTCAAAACGTTTGGGGGTTTAGGCATTCTATTTGCTAGAACTGAGTTAATTTCTGCTTCCAGTTTTCTGATGCTGAAGAGTATTATTTTAATGGCTAGATTTTTGATTGATGTCTGAGATTTGGGTTGTGTTTGATGCTTTTTCAGGACTTTCGAGTACTCTATTGTCGGCAAAATCTAACCTTGAATTTGTTTTACAGAGCCACCGGAGCTTACGAATTGGTTTTCACAGTTAATTCTTTGAATAGTTCACATTGATTTCTTCAGTAAAAGAACGTGAAAGTAAATGGAGTTTCTGTTAGAGAGGACAAAGCGAACTGAATGGATATCAAATCTCCAGAGAAGGTTGTCTCAAATAGATATTAATTCATAAGCCTATGAACAAGAGAATGATTAAGGTAGTAATATCTCACCATTGATTCACGATTGCAGGTTTTGGGTTATTTGATTTGTTAGAACCATATGTAATTCTTATACTTTTGTGCAGATTTAAGATACTTATATGCAATTCCAACAGCGTAAGGAGCTACATGTAAGCTTTTTCTACTTTCTTGAATTGAAATCCTTTTTGTTTGATTTGAAAATCCTCTTCGGGTAGTGTTGATTTGATGATGGAGGAAGAAGGAGCTAAGGACAATTTTAACTCTTTTTATACCAACGAGAATCCTAAAGTATGTGATTTGGATTTGGTCTCTCTCTACTAAAGTCTTTTATTAGTTTTAGTTTTCTATCATGCTTAATGGTCTACTAAATCTTCAGATATCTGATGATGAGAAAGAGTCCTCTCAGCCCCATTCTATTAGCCAGACTGTTAGCTCAAAACCTGGATCACTTCCCCAATCTTCAGATATGATTCATCTAAAATAGGTACTTTTTTGTGTTTGAGGTTAGTTCCATTGCAAAGTAGATTGAGTGATGTATCAAGTTCTAGGTTAAACTAAGCATCTTGTCATATATAAGTAGCTCTGGAATTTATGCCAAAAAACATATAAGATTCGGATGAGATATATTATCTGGATTCCTTGACATTTCGTTGGTTGGTTGTGTGTGATATATATTCCTTATTTTTTCTGTAACTGAGGATGTATATTCCTAAGTAGATGAAATAAATCTGTTGATGATGAAAGTAAGTAGAGAAATTGACTCGAGTTTTACTGCAGGATGTATTAGATATTAGATGTGATGAGAGTGTATGATGGGAAGAAGTATTATTGACTCTCATGATTATAAGCTTTACGATACATTGATATATATAGTGAAAGGATTTCCTAAACTAAGAGATATACAAATATCTAAATAGTTAATACAATATATTTACTAATAATAACATGATCATCTAGATCCTTCTATAGGATGATAGTATCGTTTTTACTCTTATACACAACTTGATCTCACCTTGTTAACCAGAGCCTTGTAAAGTATTGTTCTAATCATATTTTGTATATCTAAAATCTCAGAAGGGCTAGATCCCTTGTTAGTTTGAATTATCTCGGTGTTTGTTCTTCATGTTCTTATTTGTTGAAATATCTGAGTCTCATTGTCTTTTAATTTTTTTTGAAGGAAGAGATGGCACCGAGGAAGCTCATATCTGTTGGGATTTGCTTTGTTTGGGAATTAAGACAGTACAAATATGTTCCCTTTGCAAGATTAAACTTAAGTACTATGTTGTAATGTTTCTTTGACTCTGAATTTTTCTACTATGCAATAAATTTTTAACTATATCAATCATCTTCTCAGTTTCTATTTCAGTTTCAGCATGTCGATTTCTAAAACCATATTCACGAATATATACTTTTTATTATGGCAAAATTATTCAGCCATTGTTTGGCTAACTTGTAGCATAATGTATGAGCTACAATGCATATAATAACAGCGGGAATGTAACGCCACAAAAGAGTTTGAAATAGCGCACAAAATAAGCTACAAGAATTATTGATATAGCACGAAACTGTCGCTACTACAAATATTACTATAACAATAATAGAGCGCTGTAAAACTGTAAACCATAACGTCATATTTGTGCCATCTTTAACGAAATAACGGCATTTGTAAACCGCTATTGTGCCATCGTGAGACTCGCGAAGTTCCTGCAGATCTTTGTGAATTAGTCCCTCGTCTTCCTCTACTTTGGTTTTGAACTATGGAAGCTGGAATTTGGACAGGATCAACGGTTGAAGAACTATGTCAGATTTGTTCATAGGTAAACTCGTTCAGAGGATGTGTTTCGTCAATGTTAACCCGATACACTTCTTCACCACCTCAGTCTCCAGAACTTGATTGTGTGGCATCTCACTATCAAATATTTCTAGGAATAAATCATCTTCGTTATTGGTAACATTTTCATTCAACATCTCTTATTGAAACAACCAAGATTTTGTTTTATATATAAATTAAATAACAATTCAGCGGAAGTCTTTAAATAAATAAATAATAAATCAAGTTCAACAAATGAATTCAAATAAATAATAAAAGAAATACTAGCCACCTAAACACCAGGTACTAGCAAATCAAACGATGCGAAACAATAAAACAGTAAACATCCTATCATCCCCCTCTTCAGCCTCGATTCCGTGATCACATAAACCTTTTACCTGCAACACATTGGAATAGGGTTGCATAAGTATTTAGGGTCCGATTGGTAACATAATGAATAGTGGTATGTTACAAAAAAAATAGATGTTACGAAAGATAACAGTATAAATTTAAGTGGTACGAAATATAGTAGTACAAATATTAGTAGTATAATTTGATGGTACATATAACGTAATACCTTCTTGATTGGTTACCTATATGATGGTACAATTTGTAATACTCTGTAACACTATGTTGAACTTACACCAATCAGCCTTAATAAATACTTAGTGAGGCAATCACTCTGCCTACAGGCCATTTACGCAATTTACTAGACATTTAAATAATTATTATAAACTCCAATAATTATTAAATTCCATTTTCCTATTATTAAATGATTTTTAATAATTAAAACTTCAATTCTCAATCATTAAATAATTCTTATTTTAAAATAATTATTTTAAGCCATTTAATTAATTAAAATACTCATTTAAGAATTAAACCAATTAACCAGAAAACCAGATTAACCAATTAAATTAAATCAATTTAAACCAATTTTAATTTCAATTGAACCGGACTGAACCGGTCAGTATCGAGCGACACTCGCTTGGTGTCGGTCGACACCAACCACTTGTGTCGACCGACACTAGTTCTAGAGGCCGATTCTTCCCTCAACAAATCAGCACGAAAATCACATAAAACACCAGATCCACACGAATTACACCCAAACAACACTAGATAACACATAATCAACATGAACAACTCAAGAACAATCAACCAATCAAACCAAATCTAGCAATTGCGGACCTACAGTCATGCACTCACCTTGATTTGGCTAGAAACAGGGAAAGGAGATGAACACAACGAAGAACAGCAATAAGGAGCCTCAGATTCACCAGGAAACTCCACCAATCGCCTCAAATCGCCTCTAGAGCTTCTCCTCTCACGCAAAACGACAAAACTGTTCTTCCCTTGACGGCTGCGCGTTTTTATTTCGAGTTCTAGGGCTTTCTGGGTCCAAACCGGGCTAAACCGAACTTAAATTGAACCAGAACTCGATTTTTCTTTGGTGTCGGTTCGATTTTAACCATTGGTGTCGACCGACACCAAAGAAAAATCTCAATTCTTTGGTCTATGGATGTTACACTTATCTTCTTTGATTGACAAAGTATTGAGGCTGAGAATGAACATTATATAATATAAAACAGCGTTGCATTATATCCTAGTGTGCTCGTGGTTGTCGTTTAAATGCGTGTACAATTTTATCCATCTATTATTAGGAGATTAAAATATTAATAAACAATAATAATTATAGTTAAATTAACTAAGATTATGTGTACTTACTTCACGATCTGTCCACCATGATTCTGATGTGTCAATTACTGAGGTAAGAGTATCAACCGAGATGTCAGTTGATTCCATAAGGCATAAGACGCGTATACTTTTTATATTTTTTCTTCATATTAATTTGAAAAACTTATAAGTTATATCAAGATCGAATTTCTCATTAATTGTTTCAACCATAAACTGTTTACCAAAAGGAAGGGGATCTTTTATACGGTAATTATTCATA